TACATTTAAAGAGTTAAATTCACTTTTTATATTAATTTTTAAAAGTAAAGAGTAGTATGCACTCTAGAAAGAGGTCTCCTCTCGAAATTAGAGAAAACTAGATTAATAAAAATCCTATAAAAAAATGATCTTAAATTTGCCTTTTACAACACATTTCGATGAGAATGTTTTTAAAGTTTTTCCCAATAGCTTTTGTCTTCGAAAATTTGATGCTGGTAAGAAAAGAAAAGGAATTTTTTAAGTGGTAAATGATTAACGTTGAAATATGTGTTCATTATGCTCTTGCATGCTGCTGACTTAAACATGTTCATATTGACTTTGCTTTTTGGGCAGGGACAAAGCAATTACAAATTGGTTGACAGATAGATGATGTGTAAGTTTTATATTGATTGTGTTAAATGTGTGAGATGTCAAAGGTGATGTGAGATTTTGCCAAATATAAATTCGATAAATCGAAGTGTAAAGAGAGGTAGCAAGATTGCGCAAGACAGAGGCTCTTTTGCTATTTTGAATTTCCTATTTTGTCCAGGCAATTCCATCACAATTGGTTTTTTTCTCCAAAATATATCTACTTACTTTGTGAAAAGGCATATTTGAACTTATTATGAACTAAATATGTTTGAAATAGTCTAAACTTGAACGCTATCAATCCAAAAGGAGTGAAATCAAAAGACGAAGAAGCCATTGAATCTTATTTCAAAAAGCCTACAAACAACTTCGAGAATCGGGTACTGACCAACAAAAATATAAGGTGGTCATATCGAATCATGCATGAGATTCTCCTTCGAACATCTAGCTAGAGTAGTGCTTGTTTATATTTTCATCATAAAAGTCTTGGATTCATAATTAAAAAATATATATATTTTTTTATTTTTATAGCATGCTTCACTCTGTGAACAGGCTTATTAAACTCGAACATAAAAATCTAATAAGGTACAATAAGAATTATGAATTAGTATTGTCCGGAGTTGTGAAAATTAAATATATTCGTGTGTTTGAGGCACATTATTTTGGAAGAATGTATTTTGGAATAGTAGATTGATGGAGAATGTGTGGTTGAAAAATAAGGAAAAGTTATTGATGTGACGGAAAATATTATTTTATTGAAAAATGTGTGGTTGAAAATGAGTAGAAGAATGATAATGAAAAAAATAA